CTCCACAGCTGACTCATGACTCCGTTCGCAGGAGGCTGAGATCGTCCTGGCCAGCTTGTCCATTTCGAAGGAGAGGTCCAGGGCCATCGACTTCTCCACGCACATTGACTACTACGTGAGGAATCTGTACGTCGCCATGAGTGCCACGACGCTGAACGTTGGGTGAGGCTTTGTGGGGAGGGAGGGCTGTTGGGTTTAGGGATTGTGTGTTGCTTTTTTTTTTCTTTTTCTTTCTCTGTCGCTCGTTCTCTCTCTCTGTCTTTCTCTCTCTTTTCTCTCTTTCTTTCTTTCTTTCTTTCTTTCTTTTCTTTCTTCTCTTCTCTTCTCTCTCTCTCTCTCTCTCTCTCTCTCTCTCTCTCTCTCTCTCTCTCTCTTTCTCTCTCTCTCTCTCTCTCTCTCTCTCTCTCTCTCTCTCTCTCTCTCTCTCTCTCTCTCTCTCGTTTTCGTGTTCGCATTTCTACGTATATTCAGTCTTTGGGTCTGTCTCTCTCTGTCCTTCTTTGTCTCCATCTTTCTGTTATTGTCTCTTTTTTATTATTCTTTTCATACTTTATTTTAAGAATACGTTCTAACCAATTTTCCTGTCATTTGGATTTACCATATATAAAAGACATTGTCACATATTTCCCACAGTTAAAATCCAGTCTAATACCTGTGACTGGATTAAGTATTCTAGACGAACAAAAAGAAAAAAAATGTGTATTATACATTTTGTTTTGTTTTGTTTATCCAGATGTTATATAATTTGCATAATGTCTAGAATTTGTTATTAAGGGAGGTAGGACTATATCGAATGGATATACCGATTTCTATTCTTCTGACCTAAACTTGACATCCAAATGATGTCTAGCACATTTATTTTCTTGTCATTATTACTTACTTACTTGACATTCAAATAGATAATAGTAATAACAATAACAGACAAACTAAACTAACGCAACACCCCCCCACACACACACACACACACAAAACAAGTATCGTAACCGAGTAAAAAAAACTCCAAGTAATCTCCCCCAAACAACCAGACGACTATCTTCCCTCTCACAGCTGGACTACGTACGTGATGTCCTTCCACACTTCGACGTGGGTGGGGACGGCGGCGCTGGTGCTCGTGGCCACGTGGACGCTCTGGGTCATCCACCGCGCGGAACGACACACGCCGGAGGACCTTCGCTCGTTCCGCGATCTTCTGTTCCTGTTCTTCTCGTGTCTCGTGCAGCAAGGTGACTAAAGGCCCTATCACACTAGCACTTTTACCGTCAATTTTTGCGTTTCCGTCTGGATTTGAGGCTCTCCGCAAGCATCGTTTGCAAACGCCTCCCAGACCAAGACGGTTACGACCGTTTCCGTCTGACTAATTTCCGCCTTGATCTTGTGCTATTAATAAATTAGATAGGATGAGAGAATGTAAACATAAGCAAATGTTTATGTTATATATACAATATCATCATATTTCTTTAAAATAACGTATTATGTATGAGAATGTTCTGTGATTCCAGGGACCTCACTCCGATAGCGCCATGTTTGTTTACACGCAGTCAGTCGCTTTTTCATACGGAAAAGTTCATCGGGGAAACGCAAAAAAATACGGAAAAGGTGATTAGTGTGATAGGGCCAAAGGAGGGTGCGGTAATGTTACAATGTGTGTACAGGAATGATACAGTGAGGGTACAGGGATGGTATAGTGAAGTTACAAGGATGGTATGGTAAGGGTGTAAGTTATGTGGAATGAGGAACGCCAAAGGAAGCCACCCGTGAGGCGAGAGACTTCAGACTTCGGGGCCAGAGGAAATGAAGGGCCGCCCGTTACGTTCCTCGCAAAGGGGTGATGGGACCAAAGGTTATATAAGGGGTACTTAATATAACCTTGATTGGGACCCAAGGTTATGATAGGATAACTTATATAGACCTTGGAATGGGAAACCAAGCTGAGGCTCCGGAACCAAACACGACCTCAACAAGGCATAAACTACCCCGGAATGTAGGTCTACATTCCAGAAGCGTGACCAATAATGAAGATACATAAGAATAATGACAAATGATCCTAACATGGAACTGTAAATACGAGGGGACAAGAAGAGAGTGTGCAATAAGAGAAGAGGGATAGGATAGAGGAAAGGGGAGGGGAGAATAGGTGAAATGGGTAAGGTCTTGGGGCGGGGGGGAGGTTGAAAAAAAGTTCTCACAGGGTTAAGGAATGGTATAGGTGAGGGTGCAGGAATGGGTATAGTGAAGGTACAGGAATGGTCACAATCGTAGGTACAGGCAATGGTATAGTGATACAGGAATGTTATAGTGAGGGTACGGGAATGTACGTGAGGGTACAGGATGGTATAGTGAGGTACAGAATGGTATACTGTATAGTGAGGGTACAGAAATGGTATAGTGAGGGTACAGAAATGGTATAGTGAGGGTACAGGAATGGTACAGTGAGGGAACAATAATGGTACAATAAGCGTAGCGGATGGCACAATAGGGGCAATATAAGGATATGGTAAGGACATACAGTAAGCGCACGGTAAGAGTTTAGAAAGGATCACTAACTGTATGTCTGTTCTTGTGTGCTTGTATTCTTTCTTGGTTTATATTCGTGTATATATGTGGTTATATTTGTGAAGAGCTTGAGATGGCGCGAGCCCTGCCCGGCGCTCGCATGGGGGACCCTCGAGGTGGAAACAAAGGGTGAATGGCCGGCATGCGGGCCTTGTCGGGCGTAGCTCCCAGTAATGATTTTTTTCCTGTATTCGCGTTTACTCTGAGACAGAGAAAAAGAGAGAGAGAAGAGAGAGAAAGAAAGATAAGAAAGAAAGAAACGAAAGGAGAGATAGAGAGAGAAGAAGGAGAGAGATAGGGAAAAAAAGGAAGAGCGAGAGAAAAGAGAGGAGAGGAGGAGGGGAAGAAAAAAGAGAGAAGAGAGAGAGAGGAGAGAGAGAGAGAGAGAGAGAGAGAGAGGAGGCACAACGTTCACACACACACAGGCACACAACACACAAATTCACACAAATACACACTGACATACACACATGACACAACCACAATACAACACCACACTCATCAGACACAGCACAACACACACAGGGACAGAGACCAGAGGCAAGACAGCAATAAACAACAATAGAGATAGACAGAAAGGACAGTTAAAACTAACACAAAAAAACTATCGCACAGCATCTTGCTTCTTCCACATCAAAGTTAATTTACTCGTGAAACGTGAAACATGAAACGCTTTCCTGAAACCGATACCCAAACTCGGTCTATTTTCTTACGACTGAACGAATCAAACTGCCAAAATACATATAGTATAGTCTAAAAAAAAAACTATAAAAGAAGAACATGCAATTACCAGAAGACTTTTTTTCCCTTTCGACTTTCTTTTTCCTCTTATTTAAACCGTAAAAAAGTTTTTTTTTTTTCCAATGTTTCCCGTCTTTTTCCTCTTATTTAAACCGGTAAATGTTTTGTTTTCTAATTCCGGTTTTTTCTCTTATTAACCGGGATGTTTTGCTAATGTTTCCCGTCTTTTCCCTCTATATTCAAACCGTAAAATGTTTTTGTTTTCTTTTTTCCGTCTTCCCCTTATTTAAAACCGTAAACCATGTTTTGTTTTCTAATGTTTCCCGTCTTTTCCCTCTTATTAACCGTAAACATGTTTTGTTTTCTAATGTTTCCCGTCTTTTTCCCTCTTATTTAAACCGTAAACATGTTTTGTTTCTAATGTTTCCGTCTTTTCCTCTTATTTAAACCGTAAACATGTTTTGTTTTCTAATGTTTTCCCGTCTTTTCCCTCTTATTTAAACCGTAAACATGTTTTTGGGTTTTCTAATTTCCTGTCTTTTCCCTCTTATTTAAACCGTAACATGTTTTGTTTTTGTTCTAATGTTTCCCGTCTTTTTCCCTCTTATTTAAACCGTAAACATGTTCTTGTTTTAATGTTTCCCGTCTTTCCCTCTTATTTAACCGTAAACATGTTTTGTTTCTAATGTCTTTTCCCTCCCGTGACGTTTTGTTTTCCTCTTAATTTAACCGAACATGTTTTGTTTCTATGTTCCCCGTCTTTTTCCTCTTATTTACCGTAAGCATGTTTTGTTTTTCTTCCCGTCTTTTTTCCTCTTATTTTAAACCGTAACATGTTTTGTTTTCTTTTTGTCTTTTTCCTCTTATTTTAAACATTGTGTTTCTAATGTTTCCCGTCTTTTTCCTCTTATTTAAACCGTAAGCATGTTTTGTTTTCTTCCGTCTTTTTCCTCTTATTTAAACCGTAAACATGTTTTGTTTTCTAACGTTTCCCGATTCTACATTTAACTTTCAAAATGCGTCGGTGATTTAGCACAGCCATCGCGAATGCACCATTGAAAGGGGACGAGACGCTTCTGGCTATAATATTCATTTCACTTGCCACTGTATCTGGTAACGGTGATTTAGCATTGAGAAACACGCGTTGTGCTTCGGTATTGATTTCTCACTTATTTACCAATGTGCTTTATCTTCCCTTTGAAAGAAGACGAAAAAAGTACAAAGAAAGAGAAAAATAATAAAGGATAGAATAAGTGAATAGATAGATTGACGTATTGTACATGCGCGCAGATATACGTTTACACACGTGCACAAATATACACATACACACGCACACACGTACTTCCACATGTACACACACACACAAACACATCACACACACACACTCATACTTTTTAGAATATCTAATATTTCTCGTTCTTTTTATCTTTAATAGACACTGGAAAGAAAAAAAAACATAAAACAAGAACAGAATACAATATGAAAATCAATACGCTGTCAAAGTTCTCACGCGTCGCTACTTATGCTCTGCTTACAAACCACAAACACGTTACAATACTTGAATGCATTTTGTTATCCCTAATTTACCTTCGTGTTCCCCACAAAGCCTCTCCACTCTTCTGTCCTCATTTTTATTCGCTACATGGCCTACCCTCTCATTTATCATAATTTGCATTCCATACATACACTACTATCTCGTTATGCTTTTAAAGCAGGGCCCAATCACTAGTTATTCCTAAACTCTCCAATCCTTGTTATTGTTGTTTTTTAATATCTCAGTACACCAATTCCCTCCTCCCCATAAATTGTACTTTTATGCAAGCACCTAACTGTCCCTTCGTCTCTGCCTTATGTCATGTCCTCTAGGCACCTACCTGTCTCCCCGACCCTGCTTTGTCATGTCCTCCAGGCACCTACCCGTCCCTTCGCCCCTGCTTTGTCATGTCCTCCAGTCTCCGCCCCTGCTCTGTCATGTCCTCCAAGCACCTACCTGTCTCTCCGCCCGTGCTCTGTCATGTCCTCCTCCACGCGCGACTCCGCCTCGACCTCCTTCTGTCCCTCAGGTGTTCCCTCGACGCCCCACACTTACCGAGGCCGAGCTGTCTTCTGCGTCTTCTGGTTCGCCTGCGTTATCCTGTACGCCTCCTACACCGCCGGCCTCACCTCCGCCCTCACCGTGAGCACCGAGGGCCCGCCTTTCACCTCTCTCATGGGCGCCGTGGACGTCTACCCGAGCTGGGAGATCGGGATATCGAAGGGCACCGCCATAGAGGAGTTCGTCAAGGTATGTAGGGGTTAGTGAGCTCATTTTTGCGTGGGAATGAACTTCTGTGATGATTTTTCTTTTTTTTTCTCTCTATCTCTTTTCCTCTGTCTGTCTCTGTCTCTCCTCTCTTCTCCTCTCTCTCTCTCTCTCTCTCTCTCCTCTCTCTCTCTCTCCTCTTCTCTCTCTCCTCTCTCTCTCTCTCTCTCTCTCCTCTCTCTCTTCTCCTCTCTCTCTCTCTCTCTCTCTCTCTCTCTCTTTTCTCTCTTTTTTCTCTTCTCTCTCTCTCTCTCTCTTCTTTCTTTCTTCTTCTTCTCTTCCTCTCTCTCTCTCTCTCTCCTTCTCTCTCTCTCTCTCTCTCTCTCTCTCTCTCTCTCTCTCTCTCTCTCTCTCTCTCTCTCTCTCTCTCTCTCTCTCTCTCCCTTCTTTCTCTCTTCCTCTCCTTTTTTCTCTATCCCTCTCTCTTTTTCTCTATCCCTCTCTCATCTCTCAATCTCTCAACCTCTCAACTCTCAACTCTCTTCTCTCTCTCTCTCTCTCTCTCTCTCTCTCTCTCTCTCTCCTCTCTCTCTCCTCTCTCCTCTCTCTCTCTCTCTCTCTCTCTCTCTTCTCTCTTCTCTCTTTCCCTCCCATCTCATTGCCAGGCTCCCCGTTACCCCTTCTTTTTGCACCTATCTACCAACCAATGAAACCAAAACCAATATCTAACCGTTTACCCCCCCCCCCCCCACACACCCACCCCACCTCCCACCCCAACAGGACGCGCAAGGGACCGAGTACCGAACGCTGATGAAGCTCCTCTCAGCTGATCCAGGCCTCTACGTGAGTTCGGAGGACGAAGGCATCCACCGCATGCTGACTTCGAATTATGTCTTCTTCACGGACAGTCCCATCATGCGATTCATGCTCAGGGACAACTGTTCCATTCGCGAGATACACGTCAACCTCTTCAAGAGCTACGGTCACCTCGGGTACATGAAGAACTTGCCCTTCGCTTGGGTCATCGATGCGGAGTAAGTGTGGACTTTGCGGCGGAGAGGTCAAGAGCGGTTGGTTTGTATGTATGACGAGAAAAAACATGTATTGTATGTGGTTGTGTAAGGAAGTTACTTATGTTGTAAGGAAGTTACGTGCAAGTTCTCTTTTTCATGCCAGGAGAACACATAATATTGATTAAAAATCCCGCCCTTGTCCTCAAGGACGGGATTTAGTTTCACGTTGCATATTATCCCTTATAAGGAACACCGTAAAAATAAAGGCAAGGATGCCAATACTGATCCAGAGGTACGTCTCTTAGGTTACTCTAAACCCCAATGTGATTTATTCATGATTGCTTTCCCACCTGCAGACTGTCGCTAATGAGCGACTCGGGGGTGCTGGACCGCCTCAACAAGAAGTGGTGGGGGCGAGGCACTCCTTGCGAAGACCCGTCCCACTTCACCGAACTAGGCTTCGTTCAGACGGCCACCGCCTTCCTCATCCTCCTAGTAGGCTTAGGGCTGGCCTCCTTCTTCCTCATAACCGAAAAAATAATCGGAAGAAGATTCAAATCCCGGATAAACAGGGAAACCAAGAGTTTGTACATCCGGGGAGGTACACGAACAGCTGCTGAGAGAGCGCGTAAACATTTCCTCGTGATTCCTGACCCTAAGTATGCCAATGACTACGGCGGTCTCGTACCCACGGGGTCATAAAAGTCTGCTTGGGGGAAGATGTATATAAAATATAGAAACTAAGTTTTGTCTATCGTTGCTGTTGGGTAGAGTATACTCGTTCTATAAAGAATAATTGATAAAGTAAATGATATCGGAATCACTCTTGTCTTGCACAGTGGTTGAAACATTTGTAATTCTAACGTATCAATTGTAAATCTAAGAATGATTGATCTTATTGTACAATAAAAGTTTAGATTTATGCGATGGCACACACTACATAGATCGTAATTTTCCCTAGTACTTCCGTGGCTGTTCCAACTTTCTTCACCAGTAATTCATATTGTATGTAAACACTCTCCTAAAATAGTACTGAACATAATACTACATTTATTATATCTCTTCGTAAGCTCCAACACTGAATACTTACACAGACAGAAGCATATTAATAAATAACCTCTATGCTGGACTATCGGTAGTTGACATGGCATGTTTATCCTCAAATAAATTTAGTAATATTTACCATTGCTATGACGCAAAAGGTTTCATTTTCCTCGGAATTTCATTTTTAATTTGTTCACTGATACAAGACATTTTTTTTTTTTCAAATCTACACTTATATGTATTAAACCTTCAGAGAGAACCTTTATAAGTGTTTCTTGGCAGTAACAGTAAATAGATCTTATTAACCTTAAGTGCGCTGGGATGTAAAATTCATTATCAGTTGTAAAATCTACAGGACGTCCAGAACCTACCATCAGATTTTTTTCTGAAATATCTGATATAATAAACTATATCATATACTGCTGTCTCATTGCCATCCTTGGAAAACTATCATTCATTTTTTATTAATTTCATGAATATCAAAGAATATGACAAATAAATTGATACAACGCGTACACATTAACATACACACATCTGCATATGTATGGGTGTGTTTGCGTACGTGTGTATGTGTGTGCAAGCATATGTCAGAGGCGGGGCTTCCATGGTGGCACGGGGAGGCACCCGTCCCCCCTGCATATTTATTATATATATATATATATATATATATATATTATATATATTATACATATATATATGTAGATATATGCATTTATATATACGTTGATGTGTGTTTGCGTGTGTGAGTGATGATGCCACTGTGTTCCTCCGCGAATTGTAAACTACCTGCCAGAGATCGACTCAAAAGCTCAAACAGTTCGAGGAGTATCTTGTTTGAAGATTAGAAAACTGGATAAGAAAGATAAGGGATAAGGCATATATAGTATAGGCTTAATTCAGTGGAGGCAGCGAGGTGTTAAGACGCGGTGGTAAGTCGTGGCTGTAGGCCTATCAATATGTGTAGCAAATAGAATTCGCTTCGGAGTCAGCAGCTAAAGTGTATCCAGTATGAAGCAGTAAGAGAGCTCGGTGCTGTTGTTTCGCTTCCTGTTCTTAATTCTCTCTCGCGCGGCTTGTCTCTCTGTTTGTCTCTATTTCTGCTTCTCTCTCTCTCTCCGTCTCTCTCTCTCTCTCTCTCTCTCGCTCTCTCTCTCTCTCTCTCTCTCTCTCTCTCTCTCTCTCTCTCTCTCTCTCTCTCTCTCTCTCTCTCTCTCCTCTCTCTCTCTCCTCTCTCTTTCTCTCTCTCTCTCTCTCTCTCCTCTCTTCTCTCTCTCTCTCTCTCTCTCTCTCTCTCTCTCTCTCTCTCTCTCTCTCTCTCTCTCTCTCTCTCTCTCTCTCTCTCTCTATATATATATATATATATATATATATATATATATATATATATATATATATATATATATATATATATATATCCCTCCCCCCTCTCTCTCTCTCTTTTTTTTCTCTCTCTCTCTCTATCTCTCTCCCCTCCTCTCTCTCTCTCTCTCTCTCTCTCTCTCTCTCTCTCTCTCTCTCTCTCTCTCTCTCTCTCTCTCTCTCTCTCTCTCTCTCTCTCTCTCTCTGTGTGTGTGTGTGTGTGTTGTGTGTGTGTGTGTGTGTGTGTCTATCTAATCTATCTATTATCTCTCTCTCAAAATCTCCTCTCTCCTCTCTCTCTCTCTCTCTGCTCTGTCTATTATCTATCTTTATGCTTCTATCTATATCTTTCTCTCTCTCTTCTCTCTCTCTCTCTCTCTCTCTCTCTCTCTCTCTCTCTCTCTCTCTCTCTCTCTCTCTCTCTCTCTCTCTCTCTCTCTCTCTCTCTCTCTCTCTCTCTCTCTCCCTCTCTTTCTACAGCTATGCTATATAATTACTAAATAGTATTAGGTAGAGACCTTGACAATAAGGAAGAATATAGCATCCGGCCTTTGTCAGTACGAGAGCCAGAAAAATCCAGTTAAAATACGTATTTGCTGTCTGGGGTTGTTCGCTACTAACAATTTGTTCCGCGTCCAGGTTTCAACCGTTGTTCAGGCGTAACGCTGTAATATAATAATGTTTCTGTTTAGTTTTTGGTTCTGGGACGTCTTTCAGTTGCATACATTTTAGAGCATGCCATTGTATCTGTGAAGAATAAAAGAATCGTCACCATATTTAGCTACTTGACCTTAGCTCGTAGAATAAAATACAATTATTCATAAATAGTTTTCGCTGTGAGCTGTTATGTAATTCACTCTGAAATAGCGAGTTATATAAACAAGCTGCATTTTACTCAAATCAAGTATATATCGTGTTAATGTCCCGTATACATTTTGTCTATATACCATGGATTTGTCCTGCGTTACGTTTTGTCCACCATTGCGTTTCACACATCACCATTCCAGGGAATTCCAGTGGATATACCTCCAAAATTTACAGAATAAGGAGACGGATATCACCAGGAAAATGAAAGTGTATAACAATAATATTCTATAATAAAATATTTTCATCTTAAACTCCATAATATTGAGGTAGAAAGAAAACATCTGGACTTGGGAACGGAACGCAGTATAGAAAGAAGACACCCGGAACGCGGAACGGATCGCGGGCGAAAACAGCTGGCACAGAGAAAAGTGTTTATGTGTCTCTTGTCACTCATTACCTTCACTCGGTACGTAGTACACAAGAATTTGAAAAGTTTTCTGTAAATGGGATGGAACAGGGTCTTAAACCACAGCCTGGTGTGTGTCTGTAACCACGAATTTGTAAGAAATTGAATGAATTACGAATATTGACAGATTGGGGGTGGGAAATGAGTCACATCTACGAGTGTCGTAGAACCATAATAAAGCTTATTACATTGCTTGTAAAAAAACGCGAGTGTCTTAAATACCTTATGGATTGGAATTCGTACTTATACCCTCGACTGTAATTTTATGTAATGTTTTTAGTCACACCTTACACAAAATGTGTAAATAGATTATTATGTGTGACCTCTGGTGATATTTTTGATTGTGAAAATTCCTTTCTTCTGATTCTTAATTAGGAATAACATGAATTGATATTTTTTCTCTTTGTTTATTTAGTACTGTGTAAAAATTTAAAATATTACTATTTTTTCAGTGTCATTGAATTTATGCATTACATGTTTAGTAATGGGTAGAGGCTTATGCAAATGACTAGTTCAGTGACTTTTTTCTTGACACCTGAGTTTTTAGCCAGTTATTGACACATTTATATATTTGTAAAATATTTTTGAATTTGGGAGGTCATGCATTAGACTCAGAAGCCCGACAGGAAAGTTTGTATGGGAAATGGCGCGGGTGGCATTGTGCAAATACAAATACAAAGGCCAGATGAATCACAATAATGTTTAAACTTTTAGATTACAAAGCAAAATTTATTGTCCAGAAAGTTTATGTTCAAAATTTGTGAAAGTTAATGGTTAAACTTTATGGTATGGACACCCTAAGGTAAAGTTGATATTCTTGTAGTGGACATGAAGTTGTAGTCATTGGTACGAGAAGTGATCCGCAGACATGAACGTTAAAGGAAATCGTTTGCGGAAAGTACTCCTCACAGCTTCAGTCGACTTGGTCCTCCCAAGTTTGTTCTATTTTGCAATGTATACAAAGTGAAGACAATGTTTCCAGGGGGATGTTGGGAGCAGAACCCCCTCATCAACCCCCTCCTCTTCGGGCACGCCCAATCACAGCAACTTAAATTGTTGAATTAATTTTGTGACCTGGAGTTTGGGGCTTAGTCTTTGGCGAGTGCATCCGTACTGAAAAGAATTACCAGAGGTAATATGTACATGTTTATATCTTCCAGATGTCCAGCTTTACGAAAAGTAGTTGTCATCAGCCACGCAATTTGCAAACATTCCAATCTGGCTCACAAGTATTTAAGCTGGGTAGTGTTGTAACCAGTATTCCTCCAATTAGTTGATATGTGTATTTTGTGCACTGATTAAGTTTGCTGTAGTAAAAGAAGTTACAAAAGTTGTTCTGGATAGGACTACATATATTAGGCAATAGGACTTGGACTGAGGATAAATTGCCAGGAAGGTTGACATGCTGTCTTGCCAGAAGATATATGGTTGAGATTTGGTAAATCCTAACATTAGAGACACTCTCCAGTCTAAAGCCCATGTGCTTAATAAAATTGTGTGATGCAAATCAGTTTCTAACACAATTTTCTTGTGCCAAAATCCTCACATTTGTAGGAAGCACTTACACAGCTACAAAAATTGACAGTTGCAAGAAAATAATTTTCATATGCTTTTGTGTTACTTTGACCCTTTTATTTATTTATTTATTTATTTTATTATTATTATTTTTTTTATTATTTTTTTTTTTTGGTAAAGGATTTTGTGCTGCAATGAATGTATCCCACAATTTCTTTAAGCATACAGCTGTAAATCTAAATTGCCATGAATGGGCATGCCCAAAGTGCCCAAGGGTAGGATTGATGTAGGGGCTTTGCCCCCAACACCCTCTAGCAAACATTATCTTCACCTTGGTGTGCATGGCAAAATAGAGCTGAAATTCAGGTGCACCAAGTGGAGTTAGGCTTTGAGCTGAGCTTTCCTCAGTCATTTCCCCTTATGGTAATTCTTTACCATACGGATGCACTCACCAAAGACAAAGTCTCCAACTCCACATTACAAATTTTCTTAAACATAAGTTGCTGTGACTGGGCTTGCCTGAATGCCTGATGGGAGGATTGATGAGTATGGCCAACACCCCCCGAGAAACATTGTCTTCAGCCCGTTAAGCACGGCAAGATGGAGCTGAAACTTGGGAGCACCAAGTGGACTTAGGCTGCGAATGGTGCGTTCTGAGATCTACCATCATATCTGGTGTTACCGTTTGTGTCTGCAAATTATTTCTTATTTCTTGTTCTGAAAATTGTAACTTTTTGTCCTCTACAAGAATATCATAATCAATTTGCACCAACTTGGTGCATCCACTCTTTGAAGATTAACCTCCTTTATTTGTGTTACTGCCATTCATGCCTGCATATTATATATCTTTTAGCAATGACTACAACTTACATATTTATATTTATTTATTTATATATTCTTTCATTTGCCTTAGCTTAGTGTGTCCATTCCGTAAAGGTTAACCTGAGATTTCTTTACTTTTACCTGAGCTCAAAGCATAGAAGCTACAGTATTGCATGGAGGACTGCAGCTATTGTCAGACAGTACACCATTTTTAAGCTGGTATTAAGTTGGCCTTAGCTAAATGTAGATTACAGCAAATTTCAAAGTGATTTAGAAGGATTATAGCTGGTATGATTAAAAGAAAGAAACCCCTATTATGGAAACCTTTGCAGTGTATAAACATTTACCCAGCCAACTCCTGTCATCGAGGGGGCATTTCATGATACAAATAGAAATAAATTCCCTTGAAACATTTAGAATTTTTGCATAGTGATTTGCAGGATTTGTTGATCTGACTTAACAAAGATGAATATCCCTCCTGAGATTAGGAAATCTTATCTGTCCATGCCTAATCTCAGACTGGAAACTTTTTTTGAGTGTGAGTCCACAAGTAGTTTCTTCATCAATGTAGGTGAAAGCTCTACAAAATTTTGTGTGGGTATGGTCTTTTGAGAAACTTTCTTGGAAAAGTTTTTACTGTTACAGAATGCAACACTTAAAGAGACTGATTAGCACAGTAAAACCAGTTTGAAATATTATGTAGGAAATTGATTACAGATATTCAGGCATTATATTTACAATTTAGAAGTACACTCATATTACTATAAAGCAATGGAAATATGGAGATCAAGAGAATAGGTCTGCCATTAAACTTTACAGGTAGACTATATTGTTCGATTGTCCTCTTACTATCCAAGTTGAAGTTCATTTTATCAGAATTTTCTTTTCCTCAACTCAATTCCAAAAGTAAGGAAGAATTGAAAGAGAAACAATAACAAGTACAACTAATGACAAGCAAGTTGCCAAACACACTTTGCACTTCTAATCTCCCAGTCCCCAGCCAAGCTGATTAACATTCACCTTGGTATTTTCTACCAAAATAGGGTCTTGGTAATGCTTAAATATATTCAACAAAATAATGTTAATATAATCTTTCATTACGCAGTCTACTGCTGTATATGGATAATGTAAGCCATAAGCAGTTAGTTTATAAAGGATTGCAGGTTCACTGTGAAAATACATGAGCAGTATCCGTAGGCAACCACAACAAAATCCACTTAATCATATATACAGTTGTGTGTGTGTGTGTGTGTGTGTGTGTGTGTGTGTGTGTGTGTGTGTGTGTGTGTGTGTGTGTGTGTGTGTGTGTGTGTGTGTGTGTGTGCGTGTGCGTGTGTGTGTGTGCACTTGCATGCATACATGTGTGTGTGTGATTGCTTGCATACTTGTGTGAGCATGTGTGTGCTCACATGTGCTCCTACTGCATGATCAAATGATTAAGTGGGGAGCCATGAAGCTGAGAGAGATTATAGGTTTCATATATATATATATGAAGGTAAAACTGGGTATTCTAAGATAAAATTATATCAGGTGGAATACAAATCATAGAAAAGCTACCAATCCTGCATCCCTTCCACTTCCCCTAATGCCCACTGCCACTTGCTCTGTTCTACTCTTCTGCATGGGGTCTTCCTCATGCATTGGTGAATTAGGTAACATACCTGCTGGTGGACATATTTATAACATTTACCAAACTTTACAGTCTTGTATTTACAAAATGGACGAAAGATAAAGATATCAGGATATAGGATAGTTGAGGATTGTAGGTTGACTTAAAATGATCAATATATCCTTTGTAACTTCTTTGAAGTTAACTTTCACTTATGATGGGTTCTAGAAAAGTTTTAGGTTTATATGTATTTTAAACATGATTCTAGAAAGCTTTTGGTTTAGGCTAAGTGGTTAGGTTTAGTGAGGCTAATTTGATGTTAGACTTTTGGGCTAGAATTTAGTGTGGTGGTACGAAATTTGTTCAGACTAGGTTCCCAAAGCATGCTGAGAGGAGGCATTGACTGGAAGTGCCTTGTATGCCAAAGAATTACTGAAATTAATGCAGACATGGTTTGATACTAATTTCTGCTGATACACAAGAAAGTGATTTTTCATTACATCTTTTTATTTTATTTTTTTATTTTTTATGGCTGTAGTTTACTAAAATATTTGCTTAGTATTGCTGATATAATCTGTTCAGTCAATAATTGTGTGTTTTCCAAAGTATTTGTATTTGGTTTTATAAAGTATACTTTACATTTTACGAAAACTATTACTGTATGCATATTTGTGACACTTAAATTGAAAAAAAGGTACTTTCTAGTGGAGAATAGATATATAGAATTCAAAGGATGTTATTACAATTGTTAAAGTATTGACAGTTGGTATTGGCACTAATAAATAAGAATTTAGGCAATGTGTGAAAGGCTATAAGTTAATAAAATGTCATGCTGTTATCACCTGATACTTGTTATATGGGCTTTTTTTAGGTCAGAATTTTAGGGAATTAGGCAACTATACTCTAGTAGAATAGAACTTGTGTAGATTTGAAGGGGAAGTACCACAGTAAATTTAGTCTTGATTATAAGGGTAAGTTGTTGAAGGACAGAGAAAGGAAAGGGATTTTTCAGTGTATTTTTACATTGGGATTTAATCTTTGTTGCATGTCTAGATAAAAACATGTGACATAAAGTTTATCTTGTCTATTGAATTCCAAATAATCATTTTCATTTCCAAAATTTTTCTTAATATCTGAAGTATCTTTTGTAATATAGGTGTACTGATATACAATGATAACTACTCGCTTCTTAGTTTTTATTTTATATAAGAAAAAATTGATTGTGAGAAGAACTCTGATGTTGTGAAAAAGTGTTTCTAATTGAAAACTTATCCTTTTCTTACAGGTCTTAGGATGATGATATGGCCTTTCAGATGATTCCTCCAAGGGTGTCATCGTCCCCACCCCCCCTGGACTCCCTCCCCACTGTCACCTGTCCAGGAGAGGAGGAAGACGACGATGAGTTTGGGGACTTCTCAACACATAATTCTTCATTTGATATCACTGGTTAGTAGTGCTGCAAAGTGGATTTGGGGATTGTTGTGAAATTTTATCTTGTCGGTGAAAATTTTGATTGTTAAAAAAGTATTGTATGAGTCTCCTTTATAATCCTCAGTGCCAGTAATATTCAACGTTGAAGAAAAATGAGTTTTAATTGAGATTTGGAATATGACCGAGATATAACTATTAATGTGTTCTTATAAAAATACCCTTCCTTCTAGGGCTGTCTGATAAACTACCCCCTACACCTGATGCCAGTCCTTCCAAGTTCCCAGGCTTTGGTGGTGGGTCCTCGGGGAAGGCATTGTCGGTGGTAGTGGAGGGAACACGAGAGGATACCATCAGTCAGGATTCAGGGTTAGGAAGTGCAAATCATCCCAATGAGTTTTCACCACAGCCACAGCCTGATGCACGGATCTTTGAAGATTTTGCCTCTGGTGTTCCAGATGTCTCAAAGATCACGGAAAATAAACCCAGTCATGCCGTGGGCAGTAAGAATGACCAAAGCTCAAATAATTTTGCAGACTTCCAGAGCTTTGTTAGTGCTGCAACCGAGCAAGATCCGCAATCATCAGGAAGTTCAGTAGTAGTTAATAAGGAAACCGATGGGTATGTAGATACTGGTCTTAGCTCTACTTCTAGTCAAGCTGGTGACCCCCTTAGTTTTGCCATGAGTGGAACTCCTCCACCTTTAGATCATGTTGCCGACACCACAGTGCTAGATGATGACTTCACTAGACTGTCTCCTAGTTTGCCTCCTAGTGATGCAGATGAGTTTGGTGATTTTACTTCAGTTGAATTTTGTGCAGACGATAGCAAAGGAGCTTCTCATCAAACAGTTGTTGAGGATGAAGTTATTCATGCAGAAAGCAGAGAAACCAATGCAACATGTAAGTCATCCAACAGTGAAGAAACTGTCACGGAAGGGTGTCAACCATCCAAGGTCAAAAGTGCCAGTGTTATCGATAATGTACGAAAACAAAGCGAAATAATTAGTGAAGATAGTGATTCCCTAACACCAGACGACTGGCACTCTGTCAACTCTGGAGATTCAAGTAATGACGTTAAAGTGCTTACCAATGTAGAGAGTGAAACAGTTTTAAATAATAGTTTGACTGATAGTAAAGGCTTAACTCCTGTGGAAGGTGCATTAGACAGTAAGCATAAAAATTACTTGAGGACTACTGAAGTTTGTGAAGATGATATTGATGACAACAAAGATGCTAGCTCATCCACGTGTGCAAATGATAATTTTGATGACTGTTGTGTAGACTCTAGTGCCTCACCTGCAGTACAAGAGGAAGGGAGTGAAGTTTCGTGCTCAATAACCACAAATAATAATCAGTTAGATGATACAAGAAATAATGCCATAAACAATGAAACAGATTGCAGTGACAGATTGGACAGTAGAAAGATGGAAGAAGATAGTGACTTTGGTGAATTTGCAGGACCTGGCTTTGTTGAAAGTGCCTCAAATAAAGATTCAAGTTTAGATGTAAGAACAGGAATGGCAGATGAGTTTAAAGCACAAAACAATCTCGGTGAAGGAGCTGGTGCAGATGATGATGAATTTGGAGGTTTTGAGATTCATAAAACAGACGATGAAAATGATTTTGACTTTAGTGATTTTCACAAGGCAAAACCAGGTGATGATGAGGATGACTTAGATTTTGGTGACCTCAGGGCCAGGGTAGAAAGTGGTATGTTTGAGGCAGATGAATCACCCTCAGCCGATGACGAATTTGGAGATTTCGGAACCTTTGCCTCAGCAGTTGAAACTAAAACCGATGTCGCAGATGATGATGATGATGATGAGTTTGGAGATTTTGGTGCTCCAGCAGATGACTTTGGTGGCTTTGATGGTGCTGGAGGTGTGGAAGATGATTTTG